TCTGTATTGGTTCTGCTGTTTCTGTGCTGTTTTTGCTGCTCTGTGCTGGTTCTGCTGTTCTGTGCTGGTTCTGTTGCTCTGTATTGGTTCTGCTGTTTCTGTGCTGTTTTTGCTGCTCTGTGCTTTTTCTGCTGTTCTGTGTTTGTTCTGCTGCTGTCTGCTGGTTCAGTTGCTATGTGCTGGTTCTGCAGCTCTGTTCTGGTTATTTTGTTCTGTACTTATTCTACTGCTCTGTGCTGGTTGTCAGCAGAGCTTCTTTTCCGGCTCTCCTCCTGAGCAGCTCATTGAAAAGAAACAACTGTGTTTTATCAGGTAGAGACCTCCAGCTGAACCAGAACCAGGCTCAGAAGAGGCATCTGTCTGCCTGGACCGTACTTCAGATGTCCCTGTTAGTTTACATTAGTGTCTCCAGTCTAGCAGCACATCTTGTCTTTTCTCTGCAGCAGCAAATTGTTTGGAGGACACTTCAAAGCTGCCAGTATGGAGCTGCTGGCGAGCGGCCATGATGGCATTCATGCCTACGTGATGTTTCTGCGAGTCCTGACAGTCTCATGATGAAGTGATTAAAACAGACGCTGAGGATGGACGGATGGAGAGAAGAGATAAAGGAGGAGCTGAGGTTCAAAGGCAACAGGTAGGACTGGTTTCACACAAACAGCCGGAGGTCAGGTGGTGTTTCCCAGCATGCATCAGGCTGGGCCACTTCTTGTTGTTCCACTTCAGAAAGCAGGTGAAGATAATGGATTGATGGAACCCAACAAACGGTTTTACATCATTTTGCCAGGATTTGAAAGTTGTCAGAACCCAAAAAGGCAGATTCAGAGGTAAAATGGGCCATGGGCTGGTAAACCACTGGATCTGAAAAGACACTGAGGGGTGGTGGGTGGATGTACACCAGCTGAGAGGATGGAGCAGATTGAACATGTGACGGCTAGAGAACCCAGAGAGATGAGGGACACAAAAACCAAGACCAGCATAACAACAACTGGAGGGGACAGGAACAGTTGGGACCTCTTTTAGACTGGAACTGGAAAAAGCTCTGATGGGACCTCCGTGAACACTGGTTCTGAAGGTGGGCACACCTTCACTACCTTGGAAGAGACACCTCTGGTCTAACTCTTTCTGTGACTTGTCCTGGAGGGTGTCCATACCTGACCCCCCAGTGGGAGAACTACAAAACCCTTATGTCAGTGGAAATAAGGGATGTGTTGGACCCAGGAACATCAATCTGAATCTAGATATTGAGAATCCATTTGACCAAAGAACATCAGTATCTATAACCTTCTTACCATCCAGAACCAGACCAGTTTCTATCCAAACTTAGAAGGTTTGAGGCTCTAATGAAACAAGATCAGTTTTCATAAACTGATGCTTCAGTTTCAGATCAAAGACTATTTATCTGAAAACAAACTGGATAAGTTGGTTGTTGAACATTTGAAACATTCCTCCTCCTCAGATTTTCCTCCTCAAAAGAGCCACCAGATTCCCTAAATAAATGAGCAGAATCACCCTCCAGGTGCCAGAATTTTATCAGTTTGAGTCTCAACCAAATCCTGTGCTTCCACGAAGCTGCAAACACCATCTGGTCTTGATGTTATCAGGGCGTTCTGAAGCTCACAGAATAGCTGATATGAATCAGGCTGGTACTGTCATGCTTTCTTAAGAAGACAGTACATTTCTGTGGGTCTTCCTGCTCTGATAAGACTTCTCACGATACCAACAACAAGCAGGAGCACCAAATGTAAGAACCCAACAAGCATAAATTCCAGGAGCCAGTGAAGCTTTCTGCTGGTAGATTTGACATGATGTGTTGCTTTTTAGTCCACTTCAGGAGTTTTTATAACCTCTTTCATCTTTGCGAGCAGGTTTCTTTATGGGCTTTTAGGTTGATGTGATTTCACTTCTCTCTGATGCAGCATCTTGTTTATACGGGCAGGCCTTCTTTCATCATCTTCTCTCCATCACATCTGCATCATCCATCCATTTTCAGCTCCAGGCTGTGGGGATCTTATGCAGCAGGTACTGGAAACTGGTTAGAATTGAAGTTTTGGATAACAACTGCCATGTAAGGAGCACCATCCCTGCAGTGAAGCACAGTGGTGGCTGCATCATGTTAGAAACACCATTCCTGCAGTGAAGCACAGTGGTGGCTGCATCATGTTAGGAACACCATTCCTGCAGTGAAGCACAGTGGTGGCTGCATCATGTTAGGAACACCATTCCTGCAGTGAAGCATGGTGGTGGCTGCATCATGTTAGGAACACTATCCCTGCAGTGAAGCATGGTGGTGGCTACATCATGTTAGAAACACCATCCCTGCAGTGAAGCACAGTGGTGGCTGCATCATGTTAGGAACACCATTCCTGCAGTGAAGCACAGTGGTGGCTGCATCATGTTAGAAACACCATCCTTGCAGTGAAGCACAGTGGTGGCTGCATCATGTTAGGAACACCATTCCTGCAGTGAAGCACAGTGGTGGCTGTATCATGTTAGGAACACCATTCCTGCAGTGAAGCACAGTGGTGGCTGCATCATGTTATGAACACCATTCCTGCAGTGAAGCATGGTGGTGGCTGCATCATGTTAGGAACACTATCCCTGCAGTGAAGCACAGTGGTGGCTGCATCATGTTAGGAACACCATTCCTGCAGTGAAGCACAGTGGTGGCTGCATCATGTTAGGAACACCATTCCTGCAGTGAAGCATGGTGGTGGCTGCATCATGTTAGAAACACAATCCTTGCAGTGAAGCACAGTGGTGGCTGCATCATGTTAGGAACACTATCCC